AAAGTGTGATTATGTGTGAAGACCCAATTTCAAACTTTACGAGTTTAGACAAAGTTTAGGAGTAAAAAAATGTTTTCTTAATTTTAATATTATTTTAATTTGTTAGTCATTCTAAAAATTATTTAATAATTAAAAACAATACATACCAAACATCTAAAATTATAAAATACTAAATAAAATTTATTTTTTGTTCTTTTCTTATCAATCACACATTTTTCAATAAAATAATATTACATATAAATATAAAAACTTTTTCCTTATATTTTAACCAAACATTCTCCAAAAAATTACTATTCTCCTCGTTAAAATGTAAAATAATAGAGCCCAAACATAGATTATATTTACTTAATAATTCATACAATTAGTCAATTATACAATTTTCAAAAGAAAAACTTGGACTTCAAATAAAAGGGAAAAAAAATAACAAAGTGCACCTAGTCACACCATTAAGCAATCAACAATTTCGCGCATACTGTCAACGCATGATTTTTCACTCACGCTTCACGCTTCTTAGAATACTGTTATCAAGTCAACTATTGAAGGAAAAGACTCGTAAAATAGTAATTTATGAATTCAAATTGAAAATTATGTTTCATTAAAATTTTGAAATGACAAACATTAATGGAAATTCAAACTATTGTTAATGTGTCAAACGTTAAAGGTATTGTTAATGTGTCAAACGTTAATGGAAATTCAAACTATTCTTAAAGGTCAAAAATATATAATAAAGAATTAAAACAAGAATGGGGTATCAAGGACACACTTCCCATGTGGATTCCATCCCATTACGGCTGAATCCCAACTACTTTCATTGTCATCACCAAATGTGGACTGTCTTTTCAAGTTGTGCTTCTCCTTGGCGGCTACTAAGGAATTTCCCATGTCTCCAACATGCTCCTTGAATTCTTTTCTGATCACATCTAACAGACATTACCATATCGATCACATCATAATCTGAAATAATCAAGAAAGATTTTAGCATGGATATAGAGCATTTTTGCAACAGCTCAAAACAGAATGATTATTTCATTCCAATTAACTAAGTTCATTGGATCAACCCAAGTATTTGAATCAAGAA